CTCTCTCTCTCTCTCTCTCTCTCTCTCTCTATCTATCTATCTATCTATCTATCTATCTATCTATCTATCTATTTATTTATTTATCTATCTATCTATTTATCTATCTATCTATCTCTCTCCAAATATAATTAACTGATCGTTATATTTGAATATGTTTTACATTATTATAAAACCTATTTATGAAAGAAATATCAAAGATTGACAAATAACATCATGTTAATTCAAAATACAGGTGATGGCAATATTTATTGGCTTAATATATCACAAACAGTACCCGATATCTACTGATGTGAACAATATTAATGGCATATTCTTTATAATGATGGAAAACTCCATATTTTTTGAATTGTTTATATATATGGTGGTAAGTGTTGACGGCTAGGGTGGGGGGAGGAGGGGGTAGAAGAGCCCCAATAGCTTATTCACATACACATAAAATTATTTGTTTAAATCAATTAAAAAAGATATTTCTTGACGACACTGCATTGTTTTTGCGTGAATACCATAATCGCATGTATTCGGTGCTGGCCTACTACTTATCGCACATCTTAGTCAGGGTAAGTTTTTTTATATAAAATTTTAGTATTTAATAGTAAACTATTGCAATCAATGATAAGAATATAATTGAAGTTTGTTAATCAAATTTATGATAAAATTTATTCTAGATACCCGTATCGATGTTAATGTTGCTGATTTTTGTAACAATTGTCTATTTCATGGCGGGCCTGAATCCCGATCCCCAGGCGTTTGCTATTTGTATTGGAAATATGTTTTTATTACTTTTAAGCAGCAGTTTTCTTGGTATTAAAATTATATCAATTAAATAATTATACATTAACTCTACATGCCCATGTTGCAATATATTATTTATATTTACATTATTTTTGTAAAATATTATCAAAATACTAAATTAATGACACGTAAAAATATAACTTAATTGTGACGCAACTATTTATAATCAGGGTGCTTTATATCATCAATCTCGTCTAATCATAATATGGCCATGCTAATTACAGGACCAATCACTATGATATTTGTTATGTTTGGTGGAATATTTTTAAATTCTGGGTATTTTATATTACTTATTTTACATGAAAATATATTCGATTACCATGATTACTGTAATTCATAATTATAAATGTATAAAAATTTAACCATTATATTATAGATTTAGTGTACCTGTGTAAATTATAAAATTTATTTATTTTAAGTGAACTTCCAGCATGGTCAGTTTGGATCAAATATCTAACAACTACCCATTATTGTTACGAGGCTTTATTGGTAAACGAATGGCGATATATAGATAATATACCATGCTACAATAATAGCCAATCAATGGGACACTGTTATGGCAACGGTTCAAATGTGATTACTTCCCAGGGTTTCAACGAGACTGATATCCATTGGGATTCATTCGCGTTGATAGCAATGGCAATTGTCTACTTTGTGCTAGGTTATATTGGCATGGTGCGAAAAACTAAACAAGAACAATAATATCTATTAATTGCAAATTTTATTTACGCATTTACTTGACAAACTATAATGTAATATAGATTAATTAATATTAAACTGATTAATACTGTTGTACATTATTAAATAAAATTATTATTGTTAGTTTAAATGATAATGATCATTGAACGACATTTTCCGCACCTAATGTATTAAAATATATTAATTTGTGCTATTCTCAAACAATGTTATAATGTTAATAGTCAGATAAAAAATAAAATAATTAATGTAATATTTTTTGAATAACCAAACTCAAAGTAGCTAATCTAATCACGATCATTGAGTCCAATGGACGTCCTGTTTGTGAGAATTACATAGCGAAACAAAAGTCATTCCAAGTTTATATGAACATGGTGAAAGTACAGCGTTTAATAATAACCATCTTATTTATTCTCCCCTCACCTATTGATGTTACAGCCTATTGGCTTAACAGTATTATTCTCTTTATATTACATTCTCTTTATAATTACAAATAAATTAATTTTTACATAAAAATATTAAGGTAATTAAAAGTTTTATTTAACTAGAATCATATTTATTTATAAAACTAGTATTATACTTATGCTTAACGATACAATTTATTAAAACTACACACAATTTATAAACTATTGTTTTTTGAGATTTTTAGTAAAATGTTTTTAAAAAAAATAGTTTCATGACTATTTATAATATATTAAGTATTATTAACAACGCTATTTTGTTTTTTGAAAATTGCTCTGTAATCATGAATTGCTTATTAATATATTGATAATTATTATTATATTACAGAATTTCAAGTTATAGTAGTAGTTTGTATTAATTAATATTTTATTACTATTTAATTATTCTTTAGTGTGTTAATTAATTTAATTTATATAAATTAATTTTAATTTATTTATACATTTAACATTTAATTGTTATCTAACTAGATATGAGAGTTATATTAGAAATCAATGAGACTCGTAGGGGCAATAGTAGTGGTTTGCGCCAGGTCACTTTATCATGGTTAAATCTACAGGTTTTCACCAAAACTAATAAATCTATTTATAATTGTTATCGTAATGTTAAGCCTCCGCTTGAAATTATCCGAAATGGTTGTGTATTTAATAAATTTAATTAATTTGTTTAATTATTATAAATAAGGTCATAATTATAAATTATAACACAACTATTTAATAAATTAGTGTCAGGCAATGTTGCGCCAGGTCAATTATTGGCTATAATGGGACCTAGGTAAGTTATTATGAGCACAATATTAACTTATTAAATATCTATAAATTCTGTATTGATTGAAGGTAATTTTTAGAATAAACCGACCAACATTATTTTAGTGCAATTAACTAGGAGTTATGTTTTTGGAAATAAATATTAGAGATCATACTGTTATTTCATGAGACTAACATTATAAATTTTAATATACTACTTATTCAACTTAGTAATTTAAAATTACCATATTGTATCAAATTCCGAAAATTACCAAATAGCTATTCAACTTTTATCCCCTTTTTATTAATCAAGCGGTGCTGGCAAAACGACCCTGCTCAATGCACTCACCGGTAATAAACCGACCAACATTATTTTAGTGCAATTAACTAGGAGTTATGTTTTTGGAAATAAATATTAGAGATCATACTGTTATTTCATGAGACTAACATTATAAATTTTAATATACTACTTATTCAACTTAAAAGGGAAATATAAACTCTGACAACGTATTTAAGCGCTAAAAATGGTACTAAAATATACTTCACGATTAGGTGAAACCATCTAGCTCTAAAATTTAGGCCAACGGGCATATTTAGCGGATATAATTGCCACAATTAGGTTAAGAATTTGATTTTATAGTTTTAACTTTTGCGCCAATATTGTGAGGATATTTCATTCATATCTATAATCTTTTCACTTTACTCATAATCAACAGACAAAAATATTATATTCATATATTAATACTCAAAATCATTGTTCATAATTAGGTTTTCTATCATTTTTATTCAGATTTGTTATCATTTCACCTTACACATTAATTAATTAGCAATCTATAGTAATAGAAAATATGAATATAATATTTTTGTCTATTGATTATGAGTAAAGTGAAAGGATTATAGATATGAATGAAATATCCTCACAATACTGGCGCAAAAGTTAAAACTATAAAATCAAATTCTTAACCTAATTGTGGCAATTATACCCGCTAAATATGCCCGTTGGCCTAAATTTTAGATCTAGATGGTTTCACCTAATCGTGAGGTATATTTTAGTACCATTTTTAGCGCTTAAATATGTTGTCAGAGTTTATATTTCCCTTTTTAGTAATTTAAAATTACCATATTGTATCAAATTCCGAAAATTACCAAATAGCTATTCAACTTTTATCCCCTTTTTATTAATCAAGCGGTGCTGGCAAAACGACCCTGCTCAATGCACTCACCGGTAGAAATATGGGCAAAATGTCGGTCACCGGAGATGTGCTGATAAACGGACGGCCGGTAAACGGGCGGACTCTGGCCTCCATCTCGTCGTATATCCAACAAAACGATTTGTTTTATCCATTGCTTACCGTTAGAGAACATCTCATGATTAATGTAATTACAAATTATAACAAAAGAATTATAAATTTTAGTTAAATTTCATACATAATTAACAAGAAATGAATTATAATTAAGGTCACTTTACGTTTTGGTAAAACATTGACTCGTATCGAGAAATACCGTTAACAAGTCCTACATAACTATTTCCATTTATAAAGTAATTAATGGTACAATTTTTATATGTATTATATAATATATGTATGCCATATGAGATTTATTTGATGTAAACCTTTAACATAAATTATTATAAACTAAATATAAATGTAACAACGTATATATTGCATAATATAGTTAAACCTGGCCAAATGTTCAGAGACCAGAATTGGGGGTTATTTATCATTTAAGGGCATTTCCGGCGGAGAAATGAAACGATTGTCAATCGCGACAGAGGTTTGCATGCATTATAAGAATAAACAAAATATTAATATGTGTTAAAAATTATGTTTAGATTTTAACAAATCCATCGCTAATCTTCTGGTAATTACATTTATATACCGTGTTATTCATACAAGTGTTCAGGGAATGCAATGTTATGTGAAAATAACATAAATTTTTATACAATTAAGCGTTAATTAGTGGACAACAGTTTGGAAATAGACATGATATATAAAGTTACATTATAGAAATTATTTTACTTATTTCCCATTACTGTCTGCATTAGTGATGAGCCGACGAGTGGTTTGGACTCATTTATGGCCGAAAGTATTGTACGGCTATTGAAGACTATGGCCTGTGAGGGCCGGACTATTGTCTGTACTATACATCAGCCGTCGTCTCAAGTGTTCGCACTTTTCGACCACTTATTACTGATGACCGACGGAAGGGTTGCTTTCATGGGAACCAATGGTATGATAATTAAACTGTATTAATAATTAATATTAATAACATAGATATAAATAAAACATGCTAAATATATCTTAAATTAATGAATTCTAACCAAACATTAAAAGTTACATATAAATAAGTAACATGGTATAGATAATCATATAATTTTATATTTCTTTATATTTGTATTAAAGATAATGCGAGAAATTTTTTTGCAACTCATGGTTATGTAAGTGACATTATATTTAATTTAACATGGCACAAAGCTAACTAACTTGTAAGCAACACAGATTCCATACTAGAATTGCCTCTACAATTTATTTATAGAATGCCTCAACCTTCTTGAATTAATTAAATATTTTTAAAAACCATTGTTTACTCTAGATTTGTCCGCTGGCTTACAGTCCCAGCGATTATTATATGAATCAATTGGGTTAGTGTCGACATATGTTTTTGCAGACCTAATCAATCAATTTATAATTAATTTACTATTGTAGCAATCACTTCTCAACCAGAAACACGGATAAATGCCAATGTAAATATTTTCACATTTAATCAGTTAAACACTTGATATTAAATATTATTTATGAACATTTATTACAAAAAACACGGTTAAAATAATATTGAACCATATTTCAAAAATTTTAATATTTTCACTAAATATGGTAAATATTAAATTATATTTTGTTAAATGTTTTTATTGCAGGGAATATGCGATAAATTCGTTGAAACGGAATATATGACAGAAATTGTGGATGATATCAATCAAACAAAAATGGACTCGGCTAAGATTGGTAACATTTCACCAATCACAGTTGATGATTGCGATGGATTTAACAGACCAGGCTTATGGTTGCAATTGACCACGCTAATTATGCGATGTTACCTGTTGTCCATACGTAACACCGCTGATATTGTGGCTCAACTGAATCGCTCATTGGTTTGTAAAAATCAATTAATTATTACCCATAAATTAATTAACTACTAATTATATAACTTACAAGTTATTACATTTTAAAAATTAAACAGGATGCTTAGACTATTATAATGAATACAATTTAATGTTGCCACGTGTTGTTTTGTAATATAAAACATATTATATAAAAGCAGCTATAAACGCTTTATAATTCAGCGTAGATCTCTCTCTCTCTCTCTCTCTCTCTATAAACAGGGATCAGACGTATACAGCGTTGTCTTAAGCGCTGTGGATAATTAGCGTGGTCAATTGCAACCATAAGCCTGGTCTGTTAAATCCATCGCAATCATCAACTGTGATTGGTGAAATGTTACCAATCTTAGCCGAGTCCACACACACATAATTAACTGATCTAATAATCTACTATTGATTTTAATATGTTTTACATTATGATAAAACTTATTTGTGAAAAAATATCAAAGATTGACGAATAAAAATTATGTTAACTCAAAATACAGGCGATGGGAATATTTATTGGCTTAATATATCACAAACAGTACCCGATATCCAGTGATGTGAGCAATATTAATGGCATATTATACATGTTAATGGAAAGTTCCATGTTCTTTGAAATGTTTGTATTTATGGGGGTAAGTGTCACAGTTACTGTGACACAGTACTTAATTTTCATACCCTAATGAAAATTGTATTATAAAATGATTTGTTTAAATCAATTAAAAAAGATATTTCTTGACAACACGGCGTTGTTTTTGCGTGAATACCATAATCGTATGTATTCGGTGCTGGCCTACTACCTGTCGCAAATACTTATCAGGGTAAGTTGTTATATAAAATTTTGTAAGCAATGATAAACATGTAATTTGTGTTTTGTTAGTAAAATGTATGATCATGTTCATTATAGCTACCCGTATCGATGGTAATGTTACTAATTTTTGCAATAATCGTGTATTTCATGGCGGGTCTGAATCCCGATCCCCAGGCGTTTGCCATTTGTATGGGAAATATGCTTCTCTTACTTTTATGCAGCAGTTTTCTCGGTATTATATAATTTAATAATTATAAAGCCTTTACATTAACTCTACATACATGTTGAAATGTTCATGTTGAAATATATTTATTTATTTATATTTACATTATTTTTATAAAATATTATCAAAATACTAAATTAATGACAGCTTTACCGATACGTAAAATATAACTTGTGACGCAAATAACTGAATTTATAATATCAGGTTGCTTTATATCATCGATCTCGTCTGATCAGCAAATGGCCATGATACTTCTAACACCAATTACTACCATACTGACTATGTTTGGTGGATTATTTTTAAATTCTGGGTATTTTATTTAACTTATTTTACAAGATAACATTATCATCAATATATTCAATTACTATGATTATTGTAATTCATAATTATTAATTATAAATGTAACCATTATATTATACATTATCACATTGAAACATTTAATAATTTAAATAAATAATATCACTTAAAGGTCGTACCAGCCATACCTAGTTTATAGATTGTATATGGGTAATAACGATGCTCCGAAATTACCATTTGCTTACCGCTATAATAGATAATATACCATGCTACAATAATAGCCAATCGATGGGACACTGTTATGGCAACGGTTCAAATGTAATCATTTCGCAGGGTTTTAACGAGACTGACATCCATTGGGATTCATTCGCTTTGATAGCGATGGCAATTGTCTATTTAGTGCTAGGTTATTTTGGCATGGTACGTAAAACTAAACTCGGACAATAATATTAATTAATTGCACATTTTATTAGCATGACAAAATATCATGTAATATAGAATAATTAATATAAAAATTAATGAGTAATACTGTTGTGAATTATTCAATAAAATTTTATTTTTAGTTTAAATAATAATGATCATTGAACGGAATTTCCCGCATCTTACATATTAAAATATATTTATTTGTGTTATTCTCAAACAATGTTATAATGTCAATGGTCAAATAAATAATAAAATGATTAACTATGAATATTTTTTAAATGACCAATCTCAAGGTAATTAATCAAATCCAATCATTGAATCCAATGCTTCTCATAGCGAAACAAAATTCACTCCCAAGATTATATAAACATGGTGAAAGTAAAGCGTTAAACAATAACCATGTTACTTATATTAGCCTCCCGTCAATTACACTCTACCCTCAATTAACGCCAGTGCAGTGGAGACAACTTTATTATTATTAAAATAGTGTTATTCTCTTTATATTACATTCTCTTTTTAATTAAAAATAAATTAATTTTCACATAAAAATATTACCGCAATTATAAGTTTTATTTAACTAGAATTATATTTATTTATAAACTAAATAAAACTAGCATTAAACTTATGCTTAACGATACACTCAATCAAAATTACACACGATGTCTACGGATATGGATGTGATCACACAATCCGTACCGCATTTCTGGCCTCTGTTAAGGGGTCGGCGGCCGACGTCTGCCACCCGTTGGACGTGGAAATGGTGTACCGAAAGGACTGAAGGGTCGCGCGGTTCGTACGGATCACCAAATCGGAGGACTCGGCGCTCAAAGCGCTCTCCAAAGCCATGCGTTGGCGGATGTCTTACGGCGTGAACGACATCACAGACCAGTCCTCAGGAGAAGAGATGTATCGGACGGACGAATACAGTCAGTACTGTCGCGACCGGGAGGGCCGGCCTGTCATCTGGTCGCGGGTCGTACGCCATCACAAGTGCGGCTCCGGTGGC